TAAAAATTCTCTAATTAGTCTGGAAACGGGGGACCTAATTCTTGCATTCTGTGAAAACGGGTAAGATTAGCTATAATGTAATTATCTTAATCTTCACTATCGTTACTTTTTGCCCAGCGAAGCGGGTCCTTGCAGCTAGATTCTAGATTACTTAGAAAAACAGTCTTTTATATATATATATAAAACTATACTATTACATACAAATAAAAACCCAGCAAAGCAGGATCTTGCAGCTAGTTCATTATAAATTCTAATATTTTCTTGGCATAGCAAACTTTAATGTGTCATTAAATTATAACTGTCAACAATTAATGATAAAGTGCAATTCTTTTTAGAATTTTTATAATTATCTGAAATAAAAGTTTAAAATGTTTCAGATAGTATGACAAAAAATTAAATAATTTATTGAGATTTTTTAATTAATGAAATTAATATAAACTATTTTTTATAAAATTGAATGCTTTAATGTAAATTGTATATTTATACTTTAATTGCAATTTACTACATATCATTTCGGAAAAACTGAAGAAAACTACAATAGGTCTGGAGAAAGCAAATGAAAGCTAAAGACAATAAGCAACATTTGAGTTTCATATTGTTCATACTGTATAAAATTTATGTGTAATGATGATTTAACTATAGTATGAAGTTAAGTTCAATATGTATAAAACTTAATGCAGTTTAACAATAGTATTTATAAGAAATTAGATATAATAATTACAATTTGAATATTTATTGAATCATTATTACTTATTAATTTGATTTGATTGTTTTTAGATTCAAGATGCTGCAGGATGGATCTTGGATTCCATACTTCTAGAGATTCAACATAGAGTTCATGCTGATTGTTCAGACATCCCAATACTTCAGTCATTTAAAATACATATTTCAGATTTTAGCAGTTGTTTGAAAGAAAATTCAGGATGCACTGCCAACTGGATTTTAAACATATTAAAATTTGTATGCATTCATGGAGGGGATAAAACTAGTATTGATATTTTGGGTCATCTTTTGTGTACAATTTCTGAAGTAACTTATATCAAACAACTTTTAGCACATGTGGAATTAACGCATCCTCAGGTATTATACATAACAGTTTCTAACCAGATGGCTGAGTTAAAATGTTCTCGAATAAAAGAACCTGTTCAATTAATTAAGAATTTCATTAATTTGATTAAATTAGAAGAAGGAAGTAAACAAATCATTGAGGCAATTCAACCAAGTATGGAAATTTTAGCTGGGCAGGTGATGTCTGTTGATTGTGAATATGCTGATGTTGTAATTGAATTACTTTCATTAACAGTGGTTCCTGAAAGTATGAATATGTCTTCTTTACTTAGAGTGAGTTTTTCTGTGGTAGGCTACTTTTTTAAACTACTGTCAAAACAAGATATTGATAGAAAGTTAATAATGCTTCAAATATGCCAAAATTTGCTAACTAATTTATGTCAACAAACAGCTACTCAAAACATGATCTTGAGGACTTTATTAGAAACTGCTTTAGATGATAACAATACATTATTTGCTTCAAAATGCTTTCCAAATTTGAAAGACAAAAAATCAACATGGGAATGTTCTCTTCTTGCTGAGAATAGACAATATAGTACTTCAATCACTCTACCACAAAATCATTCTTCTGTTTTTCATACTGGTATTATTGGTTATGGATTAAGGCCAACATCAAAATTGAATGCAGCTTCTAGAAATGAAACTGTTCTTAACAGACAAGTCCTTCTGAATACAATTCAAGCTTGCTGCATTCCATCATGGAGATTTCCATTAGACAAAGTTTCTAATAGAGTGACTGGACCTGATATGAAAACAGTTGCCTTATTATTAGTAGAACTTGTATCTCCAGATGTGATGTTCAATGGACTTCCTTGGCCTGATGAAGATTTTCTTAAGGTAATTAATGAATTTTAAAATATATAATACACTGATAGTAAAGTTATTTAATATGAATATATTGTAATTATTTAAAATAAATTTATAATTATTTTCAGGTAACAATCGAAAGGGATTTACATATTAAGCGAAAATTTGATGAACATCCGGTTTTATGGGATCTTCTGTTTCTCATAGCCTCAGCTCATCCTTCTCTCTGTTATTGCAGTGTTCTCCTTCGAGCAATAATGGCCGTGTTGATCACACACTGGGGAAGTTGCCAAGAGAAAAAAACAAGTAACAGTCCAAAACAATTAGAAATTACTCAAAGATTAATAGATGTTATGGCAATAGGACAAATACTTCCACCTCCTCTAGCTTACATTGGTGAAATTCTTCAATCAATTACACCATTTGAAATGTTTTGTTTATTATCAGATATCTGGCAATATATGAAGGATAATGTGCCTAGTCCAGCTCTATTTACACTTACTAAAAATGGAAGAATGTGGAGAGATTTTTCTCAAAATGTTAGTGAAATGAAATCAGAGTCAAAAATTAAACTTATTTGTGAGAAGAAATATACAGACAGACTCAGATTTATAATGCAAGCCAATATTGAAAAGTTTGGGAGCATTTATCCAAAATTTTTTCCTTCAGAATGAATTCAAATCAGAAAAAATTGATTGTATACCAATTGCTATTTAGTAATAATAAATATCAACGTTTAATTATAACCTTTATTATAAAGCTATTTGTCATTATTATAATATTAATTTTTTTTTATAATTCTTAGAAGATGATAATTTTTGAAGCAGTTCCTCTCTTGAATTTGACATACCATTTCTTGTCTATTGATTTAGAATTTTTATATGTATTACATTCAATGCCAGATTGCTCACTATAAATGTGAGACATTAACCTAAGGACCCTGAAATTCGAAAATAAAACAATTTTACCATTGCAATTGTATATCATAATTGTAAATAACTCTATATGAAATAATGTAAAAACATAGTATGGAGTTCACGCCAACACACTTACTTGACAGAAAAAGACTAAGTCAACAAAAGATTGTGTTAAAAAACTTTTTTAATTCCTTTGCTAGCGCTTTCGAAATTAGTATAAATATTGTTGTCAGGCAAATGAAATGGAAGACTTTTTCCGAACAAAACATTTGAAGTACAGTACAGAATTAGAACATAAATCAAACTGAATGCAAACTTTTTTCTATGAAGTTTGTATTCAGTTCTCTTCTCACAAAGTTAATCAGAAACAAACACAAGGGTTTAGTGGAGGTTGAGCTTAAGTTATATGTAGCCCATCTACACTTTGCCAAATTCTATGATTCGGTGTCTCTCCATGATCAGCTTGGAAAACTGCACAGTATTGCCTCGGGTTTGGCATGAGCAATAAAGATAAAACTGAACAAGAAATTCCAGTGACTCCTTCAATCTACATGAAAACAACGCAACAAGGTATTGCTGGTTCCCTTCTACAATTATACAGGGAAATGTTTTCCTTCCAAAATTTGTTGTATGTTACAACAGTAAGTTCATCCCCCCTCCTCATGGTTCAGGCATCTTGGAGTTAGTTCCAGTGTCCCTGGTGACACTCAGGAACTGTCAAGCAGGGTCCAAGTACCCACAAATGGAACTCTCAGTTATCTTGACACTAGCCACTGTGAAACAACCTGCCATCATTTGCCAAAAATCAAACGAGCGGCCAAACTATGAACTGTTACTTGTCCGCTGCCAATACGAAGCTCATAATTTCAGACAAGGATAAAAAGCTCATGCTATGCGAGGAAGAGGACTTTCTTCACAGAGCTGCCGAATTCCTGGAATTCCAATCTCATGCTGTGATTCTATGAGAGGATCTAATGCCAGCTGTTTTAAGGAAGACAAGAAAAATAGTGTCTCTTTCAGGGTGCTTGGAACCTCCCTCCTATGTTACTTGCCCCAGGCTATTCCTTGAGGCTAAGACACAAAACAGGCTGGCCCTTGAGGCTGCTGGTTAATAAGAGGTCCCACCCCACCTACCACCTAGTAAAAGCCTTGCCAAGCTGTTTGGTGGGCTTCTTCCTTCTTTCCCTTATGCAAGGAAGAAGCCCACCATCCATCAAGGCTAAGGTGACAATAACTGCAACCCTTGGTACTTTGTCCCCAAGTGCTTACAACCCATATAAAATGGACATCGTCGCATTATATCCTTCTGTGCCTCACTTTGATGCAGTCATGCACACTAACTCGTTACTCATCAAAGGTTTTACTGCACAACAAGTTCTTGAGATGTATGAGGCTTTGCTCTTTATCATGGAGATAATTACTTCTGTTTTAATGAGAAGATATACCTTCAAAAACAGGGTGTCCCAATGGGTTTGCCATTGTCTCCTGTCCTAGCAGAATTAATTACGGGAAACATCAAACACAGAGTTTTTGACTTCCCACTTTTCATAGCTTACCTAGTGTTATATCTGAGGTATGTAGATGACATCCTGTTAGCATGGCATGACACAGAGGATGCATTTCTAGCATTAGAATCATGTCTCACTACTGTATACTCCATGAATTTCACAATTTGGGAAAAATCTCGTTTTTAGATCTAGACATCTCCAGGTCACAGGAGGGCTTGGTTTTATCTGTTTTCCACAAATTTGGCAGTATTCCTCCTGTAATCCTTGCCACAGCATTCCAACCTCTGCAATATGTCAATGTAGCCATAGCTCCCCTTATTAGAAAGGTATTCCTAATACTTTCTAATCAATCTATTACCAATATCAAACTTGATTCCATCTGGTCAGCATTATGTGCAGCAGGCCAACTATTGCCAAATACAACCATATCCTAAAGAGGGTCAAAAGGTCACTCTTCCCCACTACCAGCTTGCAGAACCCAAAGGAATGAACTCTAGTCCATCCTTCTCTACCGTATTGTGGGCAACTGTCAGCCTGTATATCCCGTATCTTCACACAAAATTCCCTGTATTTACCTATCTCACCATGCCCTACTTTATAGAGACTTTTATGCAATGATAGAGATGCACTTTCTCACTGGGAAAAGTCAGGTGTATATTCAGTTCCGTTAGAAAATACAACTGGAACACACACCTGCTACATAGGGGCTACCACCAGAATGCTGTTCTCTCAATTAGCAGAACACCAGCATTCCATGGCACAGGGAAGGTGTGACACTGAATTGTCCAAAATGGTCGTACAACATAGCTATACTCCACTTTGGGATCATGCCATTTTACTTAAAAGCTGTGGTGAAAGGTACCTTCTGTTTATTTGGGAGTCTCTCTTCACCACCTTGCTAGACTCATACAACTGCCCTACTCTTGAGTTGTCTAAAATTTGGCTTAATTTATATAAACGTATAAATAATAACAACTGACCACTTGCCTCCACTTCCGCATTTCTATGCAAATGCACGTAGATAATACATCATTTTAAAATTTTTTCAAAAACTTTATGGAAAAGTTTTTGAAAATGTATTTGAAAATGTATTTGGTTTGATTTATGTTCTAATTCTGTACTTCAAATGTTTTGTTCGGAAAAGGTCTTCCATTTCAGTTGCCTGATGATGATATTTATGCTAATATCGAAAGTGCTAGCAAAGGAATTAAAAAAGTCTTTTAATGCCATCTTTTGTTGACTTAGTCTTTTTCTCTCAAATAACTGTATAGCTACAATTAATGTAATTAGTTTATAATGTAATAAAATTGTGTAGAGGGAGGCCCCAGTAGGTCTTCATCCGCCAATGATTATACTATCTGAAATAATGAAAATGAAAAGTTTTCAAATGATCTATCTGAGTTTTGAGATTTTATTGCTGGTTAGTGCAGAGAATGTGATTGCACTGTTCCTTGTTTGATACTGGATTCAAATCTTTGAACAGCTAACGTTGTTGCTTTAACTAGACACTTTAGCTTGGTTCCTTGGAAAAATGATCTTAACTATTTAAAATACAAAATTAATTCTTTTTCAGATGTTATAAATCATTTTCAGCAATACAAAATTATATATAAATTTTATTAAGAATTCTAAATTAGAATTCCATTCTTAAAATGAGAAAAATAATAATAGGAATTCATTATAATAATTATTTAGTTTATTTTTAGACAATAATTATTTTCGAGATATTGTTGCTTTAGTTTTTTTTTTATGTATGGGATGCCTCATTGTTGCGTATTTATTATCTCGATGTACTGCTGCTGTAAGTATTAAGTCATTACACCATTCTTTATTAACTTTACATTCATTTTGTTATTACAGTCAAAATTCTTTATAATGAAATGATAATCATGACTTGATTGGTATAATGTATTTTAGTATGGTTTTGAAAACTGTATAATGAATTACTCTATAACAAAAAATACTTACTATAAAACAGATTTTATAGATAAAAAAGTACAGTATATATAAAATATTATAATGAGAACTTGTAGTCAGATCAGATTTTATCATCAATATCAACATTTGATGACTAACATAGATGATGCTTTTTAAACAAGTGAACATTTTTTAAAAAGTGACATAAATGGCCATCATCACATGAATGATAGTGAAGAAGAAAATGACATTAATGCATCTGAAATTCTATTGCCAACCAAAACTATAAAGTGCATAAGGAAGATACAACATTATTTACTAAACATAGGACTGTGCAAAAAGATTTAAATGATGACTCCTTAAATATACAGACAACTGTGATAAAGGATGCACTGCAGAAACACAAACTTTAATTATGTCGTAAATTATTTTATACCTCAATAGGTGTAAAGTATGATGCATATTTGTATAATTTTTTCACATACCTATATTTTATATTATTTAACTGATTAGTTAATATGCATTCAATATTTTCAAATTATAATACAGTATGTGAATCATTCCAACCAATTTTTGCTTTACATTTTAGAATGAATATTCCTTAAAATGTAATAAAAATATAAAAAAACTTTTAATGAATCCCTTGAATTTCATTACATTGAATTTCAGTGTATCATTATCCATATTTTTATTTGAAACTCACTTTCATTCTTTCAAATCTTTAATTTACATTAAAACCTCTGTAAACTGGAATCGCACAATACTGGATATTTTTTAGTTTAGATAGGGTCCCATTTTGGACAGGTTTTATTGTAATTTTTCTATTTCTGTAAAACTTAGGATCTTTCATTTCTATTAGAATATGGTAATTATATTTATCTGTGATGACAATTGATTTAGTAAGTCACACCTTCCATGCCATTTCCAGCAAAACAGTAATAAAAATTTAACAAGACAAACATTTTCAAACTACTAATTGTCCGCTTCAGGTTTTAACAGTCTGAAATTGAACATCTAAATGTTGCCGAAAACATTCATTTTGTTAAATTTTTATTCAACTGTTTTGCTGAAAATAGTGTGACTTATTAATAAGTTCTAGTTCACCACATAGAGAATCCACAATATATTTAAAGTTTTAGAGTTTAAATCCCTCAACATATTTGTAAATTGTTGGCAAATTATTAGTAGCAACAGTAGCAAATTTATTAATCTGTCTTCCAACATTTAAAAACAAACTGGAAAAAATTTTTCAGATTTTTAGAACTATTTTTAAGATGCACATTTTAATTTATAAAATACAATAATTTTTAAAAATATTACTAGAATTATTTTTTAAGACATCCAATTTGACTCTTTAATTTTTGAAAGAATTAAATATCTTAAAATGTATATTGATGTAATATTAGACTATTATTTAATTTTTTATTTTAAAAGTATTTTAATGACTTAAAAATAAATCTGTCTACAAAAATTTAATTTACCATATGTAAAAAATTAATACTTTAGTTTTTATTTCTTGCAAGAAATTTATGATAATGCATTATGGCATGGGACTACTATACTTCTACAACACATCATTTAGCATAGAAAATAATAGAATATATAGCTTAAATTGAATATTCAGACAATTTATTCCTATAATTATGAAATAGCAAACTTTAAATACTAATCTTCTATTATTTACTAACAAGAAAACTATCACAGTTAAAATTTTGTTTAATTGATAACAATATTTAAAATTAGCTGCAGTTTCTAATGCTTCATTTTCACAAAGTTTCATAACATTTTTATTTTGTGTATTAGTTAAATTACAAACATCGTAAAAATCGAAATTACTGTGAATAATGGTTTTAATAATCTGTTGTTAATTAATTTACTATATTTTAATTTATAATTAAAATGTCAATAGTTTATGTAATGTCAAAGTACACAAGTCATCAGCCCATAAAATAATAATTAACAAGTATTTTATTACTGAATAAAACATTTCGTATACAAAAATCACTTTATACAAGATTGAAAAATCATTATTATTGTAATTATTAAAGACTAGCAGATGAGCTGGGCGTTGCTGGAGCAAAAAGTAACGATAGCAAAGATTAAGATTATTAGATTATAGCCGATTTTACCCGTTTACACCGGGTGCAAGAATTAAGTTTCCCCTCTTCCGAGGCTAATTAGAGAATGTTTAGATGGGTATAAAAATATGTTCGATTCCCCACAAAAACGCATTTAAAATAATACAGTAGGAGCCAAGTTCATGGTAATCCTTAAAGTACCCAGAAATAGGATAGCCAGAGACAGATAAATCCCTTTGTATCTTGCCCAAGAGTGTATTGATTGTTACCGATTTTAATGAGAATTAACGGCCGAATGAGTCAGTCGTCGCCTGTTTCTTCAATAGTAAAAGTCATCGCGAAATTCTTGTGTCAGTGCCCTATCCTACTATAGCGGATATTTCACTTTACCCTCGGTCAACTGCGCTTTCGAAGACGAACTTTTCCGGACGATCCTGATCCAGAAATTTCCTTAACGAGACAACGTCAAGACCCTAGTCACCCTAGTCATAACGAAACCGTAATTAAGGAACATCACGCTGTGGACTCCATCAACTTCACGTATTTATCTACTCGCAAACAATTGTAAATCCTCTCTCGCGCGACCACTACCGTTAGTACGATAAGCTAAGCCGATATACCACGATGTATATCATGTACTGTACTCCTTTTCTTTGAAATTAAACGGTTATTTAGTTGTTAACCTTAGTGTCTGAGTGCATTTCTTCCGTGGCGCTGCCTCACAGTATCCATTCGGAACCAGATCACTTACACACGCAGCCGTTTGCGTGACCTACTTTCACAACAAAACAAATTAGCCGTGTCGAACGAAACACGGTGGTGTCAGTCCTGACGGGGCATCAAAGAGGTGCCGACCCTGCGGTCACAATTACTTTAGAATAAATGAATTGCACATCTGTAAATTTTATTTATTAGAAAAAAGCATTATTTTAACTGTTTAAAGTTAAATATTTAATAAATAAATAATATTTATTAGAGAATTATTTTATCCTCTTTCTAATAAATGTTATTTTTATAAAATAATCCCTTTTGAAATATTTCAAACAGCTATATGCTTTCACGTAACACGTGACGTAAAAACATGACGGAATCGTAACACGTCACGCGTTGTTAGAAATATAATCTAACAATACGTAACGAATTGTTACAATGTATTGTCTTTTTCTATTGTACAGTACATGGCCATTGTTAAGAATAATTTTTTTCGTAAGTTCCACGTTTTTCTTCGTTTCTTTCAGATTTCTTGGAAAAATTGTGATCGAATAAACTTCAGTAATGTACTGTACCGAAAGGCGAAGAAGGTTCTCTGTGTCCCGCTTCTTTAAGGCCCGCTCTGGTGAAGTTAGGAGACGCTTCCCCTGACTTCATCCGAGCAGGCCTTAAAGGAACGGGAGATGGAGAGGGTTCTTTGTGTCTTCTCCATCTCCCGTATAGTAATGTTATCTTCCAAATAATTAGTAATTATAAATAGTAAATAATTATAAATATTTTCATTGTGTGAGTTAGGACGAATGAAACTCGACAAGAGATGTCAGTCACTTGTGGAGTGCATTCTTTCCAACTCTTGGTGGAACTCTGAGGCAGCCACCTCCACGTGGTGAGTTCTGGATTGTCGTTCGTTTGGAAATAACATGGCAAGCGAAGAGTTGCTTGTTCCCTTTCAATTGAATAATAAGAAATGAAAACATGCCAATAAAAGCAGAAATTACAAAAGTAATTAAAGTTAGAAGAATTAAGTATCTAACTTCAGTATAGATAGCTTTAAATTTTGTCTAAGTGTTACTGTAATTCCTTTGTTTCAATCGTGATTGTGAATTTTAATTAACCCAGGTTAGCTTTATGGCAATAAGTTCGTGTTATGGTTGACTACAAAATTATAATTACGTGTACGTATTCGATACAATGAAATGATCTTAACAGCAAAATTGTTGACTTGCTAGATAAACAACGATAAAAAAAAAAGTAACGCAAGTCATTACCAACGAAAAAAACACAGAAAACTCCTCGTATCCAGTCTGTTGGCAGTTCTCGAATTTACAACCGCCTATCGTTGTTTATTGATTTTATCCATTCGGCTGTTGCTGGACAGCTTTCTTAAGCCATTTGATGTTGAATGCTAGAAGTATTTTGATATTTCGTTGAAAAAGTCGAGTACAAAATAAAATTTGTGCGAATAATTTAAATTTATTATAAACTGCTGATAAGTAATTTGCAATTGTTCTTCTTGTGATTTATTAATTCTAAAATTGAAATATTTTGTTAAATACATTCTATTATATTAATTCCGGATTTCCGGACAGAGTCAGTATTGACCTTTAGGGATCGAAGAAAGTTTGCAGGAATGGTTGAAACTTGGCAAATATTTAAAATTTTACGCATTTTTCTTGCTCTTAAATAAATGTAGGAAGATGTCTTTTAAAAATGATATAAGATGATATGGCATATATATTATATAGTAGCAAATGACCCCGGTGTTGCTGGGGCAAAACTAACAACATCAAAGATTAGGATTATTAGATTATTTCGTGGCAATCATGAATCCTTTTATCTCCCAAAGAAGCATCCCAGAGCGAACCAGCTGTTTGACGCAGTTTTGTCAACAAAATCCTGGGCAAGGTCGTATGGATGCCTGCCATGGAGTGCCTTTCGAACCCACCATTTCTCAATGGTGTCTATGCCTTTTATACGTTGTGTTGTGTCCATATGTTGTGAATGTAAATTTATTGGTGTGTTATTTGAGTCTGCTAGAGTTACTGCTTTATGTAACTAATGTTTTTTGTTATAGAAAAACTCTCGCAATGTCTGTATTTGTTTGTGGTGAAAGTTAGCTATGTCGATCAGGCCACGTCAGCCATCTTTACGTGGAAGGTTAACAAGGTCCGCGGCTCTGCGCTTATTATTATTATTATTATTATTATTATCAACTCATCTCGATTATATTTATAAGATTTAGGTAGAAAATTATGAAATTTAGTTGAATTTTGTTAATGAGAAATGAAAACCAATGAAAATATTACGATCGCAATCCACTAAGTCATATATTACACGATTTTAAAAAATATTAATACTAATGTGATTTCTCTGTCTTATAATAATTGAGGCGGAGAGTTAGCGAAGCCTCTTCTATTTGGCTTACAGAATCGCCTTCATTCTGAAAATTTGATTAATCGAGTTTGATAAAACTGCCATTTTCCATTAATTGCAATGAGGAATCCAAAACTGTAATAAAAAAAATGGGACGTTCGTTTTCGAGATAGGTAAGATCAAAGTGACAATGTCCATGCTCCATACACGACGCGATTGAGCGCACCTAAGAGAATTTAACAATCAAAGCGCTCACCTAAGGGAAAATGGATACCAAAAAACGAACAAAACAATCGGCGTCAATTGCCGTGTTCTTGGATTACCTCTCCTTGCTCAGTAAATGCAATGATCTATTTCTTACCAGTTCCACCTCAATTGTATCGCGATACAACTATGTCGCGCGATGTTTCAGAAATATGTTATAATTATTTTTTCTTATATTTTAATTATATACAAATTATTATTATTTGATTGTATATAATAAGCAAAGCGCGCGCGCGCATACACGCACACATATGTATTTGTACAGGTATGCGTGTGCAATGGTCTTGCATGTATAACGTACAAGTACACGCACACGTACAAGAATATAGGCCTATATTTATAAGTGTGCTTGCGTGCTTAAATACGTTCTTGTGTCTGTGTGCTTATTAGTTCTAAAAATTGTTTCTTATACTAAATCATATTTATTTACACTTATATACGGCAAGATACATAAAGCAAAAGACAATTTTATATTTAATTTTTATATCGTGCGTTCTTATTTTTATTTAATTTTTTGTGTTCTTTGTTTTCGTATAATTAATCTATCTAAATTTAGCTTACTGCATTCATATAATTATAAAAATAAAATTAAATATATAAAAGTAAATCTAAATATATAAAATTACTTGTCCTGACTGACTGATTGATTCATCGTCGCCCAGAGCAAACCGCTGAACCTAATGTAGTGAAATTTGGTACACAGTTAGGGTAGGCCTACATCATGAAAATGCACACTAAGAGGGGATTTTTCGAAATTCCCCCGTGGGGAAGAGGGAGAGCATTAAGGCTTAACCGGAACAATGGCTTCTACTGTAGTCTACTATTTTAGATGCGATTTTTTGTTTTCAACTACGTTTAGTCTTCATTGAGCACTTAGGTGTAATTGATAACATTTCAGACATTGTTTTGAATATTTTTTATACATTTCGATTTTTTAACCAAACGTTCGAACCATTTTAAATTCGAATTTGTTATTGCATATTGATTCGATTATAGAACAGTTGTAAACGTTCCAGAAAATTGACTAAATTGAAAACAGTTCGTTTGATTGAAAACAGTTCGTTTGATTCGAAAACAGTTCGTTTGATTCGAAAACAGTTCATTTGATTCGAAAACAGCTCGTCATTCTCATCATTCTCAGGTGTTATATAACAACTAGCTGCAAGGACCCGCTTCGCTGGGTTTTTATTTGTGGACAAAAAGTAACGATAGTGAAGATTAAGATAATTACATTATAGCCAAACTTACCCGTTTTCGCAGAATGCAAGAATTAGGTTTCCCGTTTCCAGACTAATTAGAGAATTTTTACGTCCAGTCAAACGAACTATTTTCAATTTGATCAATTTTCTGGAACGTTTACAATCGTTCTATAATCGAAACAATTCGAATTTAAATTCGAATTCGAAAATTTTTAAATTCGAATTCGAAAATCTTCCACTTTCAACCACTTTGAAGCCCATATCTCCCGCACCCTTATAGCTATCGAGATGCAACCACCATAGTGCACGAATGGAGACTTGCGGCTACTACCACACACAAACACCATTCATGTGCGATGTGTAGTTTTGGCTGAAAAGTGAAATATAGGGACACACACGTCCATTTATATATACAGTGCCGGCCCGAGGCAAGTTTTAGGATGGAGCTAGATCTTATTATGGCGCTCCCTTGGTTGCCCCTAATTTATACCCTTTAATTTTCTTTACCACTGAGGCGACCCCTAGGACTTAGCGCCTGGAGCAGCTGCTCCGTTCGCCCTATGGTAGGGCCGGTTCTGTATATATATATATATATATATATACATATATATAGATATAGATTACTATGGTTGTTGAAATGCTGAATATAAATGGTGTTTGCTTGCAAAATCCGCGCGAAGTCGCGGGTAAAAGCTAGTGTTTATATAAAACAAAACACTTTTAAACATCAATACGTTTCTTTAGTTACTTTTAGTTTGAAATTCTTAGAGTCAACACTAATTACAAAGTACAAATCAGTAAATTTGTAAAACTTTTATTTTCTTATTTTTCATGTGGATTATTATTATTTTTTACAATAGTATTAATAACAACAACCTTTGTAATATTTCTTGTAAAAGAGTACGATTTAAAAATGACGAAGGATATAGACCTAACGAGCAATTATTTCTTGTGAAATCGTCACATTGCCGGGCTACATTTTTTCGTCGCAATGCACTTTAATAGTGTCTTGTCCCTGTATGTACATCATACTTTTCCTCAGTCATACCTGTCACGTATCCAACTCCGTTCAGGAGAAAGTTTATGAATTGAAATAACCTGACTTTCGGCTCAAAACGGAAGTTCTTATAAAGTTAATCGGGACCCCCTGCCCCTAAGCTTTCTTTCTTTCTTTCTTTCCTTATCTGATCTTGATTTTCATCTTTCTAACACCGTTCTCAAGATTAAGGGGCGACAGTGAGAATTTATTGGTCTACAAGTTTTTTAAAATTATGCCCAATTATGATTAAATGGTCAGATCGTAGGCGTCCGCAGAAAATTTTTCAGGGGGACAAAGCTTGAAGACAATTAATTGTCAATAAATTTTTATTTAATTATTTATTTTGGGGTTCTTTTTAACAAATAGATTATAGAACACAATATTGGATCAATATGAAAAGATAACATGATTGATGCTATTAAATTTTGGTAGTTAAAAGATCACGTGTCATATCTCGAGTGGTGTCAGATTTTGAAGATGTTATTCGTTATTAGCATTTACAATTTCTTATGAAACTTATCTGTACTTTCAAAGTTAGGCTTTTTGCCATCGATAATAATTAATTTTAAATACAAAAAGTTTTTTTATAATAAAATCACATAATAGATGGCACCACACATAATTCCATTTATTATTCTGTAAGTTAAAAATATAAAAGTTGTTTATTAAATAAAATCTCATAACAGCTGGGAAAGTTATACAACTCGTTGCTAGAGAGAAAAGAAGGAAGAATCTCTTTGAAACTGTAAGAGAAGAATCGCATGAAGGTATAATATGATTTTAAGATATTCAAATATTTACTTTATTGTTATATATTTTTATTTGTTCTAATGAACCTCGCGATATTTAACCACTGTACAAAATATGGTTGCACGGTATAAACCGCAAAATCAACTTTAAACGATATGACTTCCGTCAACGGCGGGTGGCCAAGCAGTGAAGGTGACAACCTACCGCTCCGTGGGACGGATAGGAAAATAAACATGAATTTTAGGGGTAGTCCGTCCGGATATGTCGAATCCCAACCCTCACTACCTCGTCGTTCCATTGCGGGCTTGGCCGAACCCATAATGGGCTTCTAAAACGGACCCCAGTGCCCACGAAAGTTTAAAAAAAAGGTGACGTGACTTCTGTCAAAATAATCATCGTGCATTATTTATACAAAGACATATTTAAGTAACTTTTAAGCATTAAATTTTTCAAATCAATCATAAAACTTTGCATTGTCAATATATTATCGTTTTCACATAGGCTAATACAATGGATAACGTTATAAAATATTTTATAAATTAAAAAAATATATATTAAATATCATAGCATTTAATTTTATATTTTCGTTTAAAGGTAATTTTGTATTTTATTTTAATCAAATTCCCGATTTAAAAAAAATATACAAAAAAAAAATTAATAATAAAAAAAAGAATTGATAACGATGAAGAAAAATTCCACGAAGGGTCGCCATCTGTTATTAGAGGAAGCTATTAGTGTGATGTAGGTTTATCGAAGTTCACTCGACGAAGATATGAGATATAATCTAAAACAAATGTAGTTGGTTTTATATGCGAGATCGGAATTACGATTGTTCGATTGTTATTGAAATAAACTGTTAGAGGTATGGTTCAGTCTTTCCATCGAAATTGTCTAATTTACTTAATATTATTAAGTCTGTTTATATTTTACAGGATGATACAGAAATTACTTAAGGATAATTACTTGTATACTTTTTATCATAAATTTGGATTAATCATGAGAGAGTAAGTCTAAATTCTTTAAATTATAATTATATATTGTACAAAATTGTTATAAAGTTATAATTTGCATTATTATTTTTTGCCTTTCTGGTTTTTAAATTGATAAAAGTTTAATCTCATGTAATTATATCTTTTAAAATAAAGATTTCTCTATAAATTTTTACTGAAAGTAAGTAATGCAATCACTTCAATGACTCTTTAAATGTTTATAGGACAAAAATAATAATATGTAGTAAATATTTAAGTAATTTAAATGTAAAATTATACTTATGACATTTGATTACAGCTGGATGATAGTTTATTTCTATATAATTAATTAATTGAAAACATACAGATAATATTTTAAAATAACAAAAGTTATCTATCTTATAAAAAAAATACAAATATCCAGGTTTTTTTTATTACTAAATTCTATAGTTTTCATTATCTAAGTAGTGTGATTCAGAGTGTATTGTGTGTTGTAGAAATTTAAAAATATCTTTTTGAATAGTCTAGTGATTATGATGATTAAATTTTTATTAAAATAATGATAGGAACTATTCTTTAAACTCAAACTGCATCTGCTTAATTAGGTTAGTGAAGATTGTGAATATCTGGAAATAAAATGAACATTTATATAAGTTAGATGCATATAGCAATTTTAAACTAATATTTTTTAATGTAATCTTGAAAATTTCAAGAATATCTGTACAACAATACTGGTGTAATTTAGTAATAAATAGTAAAAATACACCTAAACATAAAAAAACCAACAAATAATGAATATATTTAAACTAAACAAACATTTCCTTTCTTTCTAAAAGGTCGTCTTCAGGCTAGAAGAAATGCAAATAGAAACGAACGTTGTATTGTTTGTTTGTTATTTGCTAGGTTTTTGGTGTTTAGATGCATTAATTTCAAGAATATATTATTTTATGAATTGATTGATATATGATGATAATTAATCATTTCTCAAATTATCATAAATGCTATAATTAAGTTTCAATTGCTAAGTTATAAATTTAAATAAACATTTTTTAAAATTAGTGATGCAATGAATGGTATATTTGGCCAAACTATTTGGTTTGATTAACACGTATGAAAATTGGCATGCAAACCACATTATGGCAAGGATTGTGTACCCTGCTCTCTATTGGACCGCTGTCACTACACTTCGCCAATCGTGTTAATTCTTGATAGTTGTGGCGGACAGACATGAGCATCATGGCATTATTATTATTATTATTTATTAGGACAATGTACAGCCTGGCTCCGCATAAGCACTATTAGGGTATCATGGCAGTATGTGATAAGTGATGATATCAAATGTGGATAACAATGAAACAACCTACACATGTAAATAACAGAAAAAGAACAGAGAAGGACCACAAAGTGAAAATGTGAAAATAAATATGAAATTGAGTTGATAACTTAATCGAACTAGTTGAGGCAGCTTATTGGCGCAAAATTCGTGGCCGTCAATGCCAATAATTGTTCTCATAGACTTCAGAAAGCTAAATGCTTGTAATGAACGTCACTTAGCGTGCATGGGCAAAAGCCTGGGGCCATTCAGGCTACCAAGCTGTCTGGAACTTCAGTTATCTATACTACTATATAAAGAGACAACGTATTTTTCGTTTGTGACCACTAACCATGAAAACTACTAAACCAATCGTTACCAAATTTTAACTGTAGCATCTTTATAACCCCCGGAATGTTTACCACTAACCAAACCTGCAGATTTTTTTGTTAAACATTCATATAAATTAAAAGATATCATCTAGGGTTAAGGCTTTTATGTCCAACAGATGGCGCTACGAGTATGACGCCCTAAGTTTGCTTTTCTGTGAGGATGAATTAAAGCAGATCATCTTCTATCTATCTATATAAATAAAAATGTAATGTTCGTTTGTTTCTACCAATTCCTTTGAAATTTTCACACAATTCGAATACGCACGTGTTTTTATATAATATACATGTCGAAATTCCCTCCACTGGGGGGGAGATGAACAGGATTAAGGCTTATTTTGAAGAACTTGGCTTGTATTATACTATTTTAAATGCGGGATTTTGCGTTTTTGATTGCTTTTTAATAGGGTACGCCAAGAGAATGTACACTAAGAAGAAATTTTTCGAAAAATTCCTCCCCACACGGGGGAAGTGTTATACATTTATAATAGATACATTTTGAGCCACAACAACGCGTGGCGGAGTCTGCTAGTGATAAATAATTTTGTACAATGAAACAAAAAAGTTAATTTAATTTTCAAGTTTATAATAAGGGATGATGTCATAAAAACACTTTACAGATCATTAATTATTATTATTTTCACATTTTATGACCTAAGTTTTGATCTAATGTGCTCACACAATAAAAATTTTCATACAAATTTTTTATCCTTTTTCACCTCTAGGGTTGAATTTCATAAAATCTTTTCTTAGCATGCCTAAACTTTACAAAAGGAACACGCCCTCAAATTTTTAAGTTTCTAGCACCAGTAGTTTTGGCTCTGTGTTAATTATCTTATCAGGACTTTTTAGTTTATATCCGAGTATATAGATGACTAAACTACATAATAAGTAGGTAGTTTTCATTTGATTTGTTACCTATTTTTGATCTATTAAAAAAATAACTTGTTATATTACTTTTCCTTTGATCTTTTACATAAATAAGCAAAAAATTGTGCTTTCTCAAAACTTGAAAACTATGTTCAGCATTAATAAAAGTTACCAAAATGATTAATTTACTGTGTTTTTGTTATTTCTTACTCCTGTTTTTAGGTATTCGGTATTTGGCTGAATAGTAATTACATATTTGGTATTCGGCCGAATAGTGAAACATAGGTCGAATAGGCCGAATATTCGTTGAATCATTATTTAAAATTCTATACAATAGGCTTTCTTTGTTTCTTCTATTAATATTAAAAGTTTTGATCCTGCTGTATGAATTAGAGTTACAATATTTTTCACAACTTGAATGGAACAAAATCTTTTTTCTGTTTTGTTGATTAGAGATTGTAAATTTATAAACCTTTTTATTATCAGTAAAATGGTAACTTTTTAAGACATTGCCAGTTTACTGATAATTTTTAAATTTTGAATCCAAATACAAAAGTTAGCACATTAGTAATTGGTCATAGAGCACTGAAGACTGTTTAGATCTCTAAACAGTCTTCAATGCTCTATGACCAATTGAATTCCCATTTTTTCTGTATTGAAAAGATAGTTTTTTCACCTAAAAATTACAGTATGCTATAATTTTATAGTTGCTGTGAATAAAAATTGGCAAATGCAAGCACTCTCATTCAAATAAGTGTATTCCATTTTGTTACTTGACTAAAATTGTTATTGTGCTCTAGGTGTTATTACAGGTTAAGAAACAAATTGCAAAACTATCCAGCATATGCTGTAATCTGATATTTTAAAAATTATTAAAAAAACTGTGAAGTAATTTAAAAGATGAAGAATATAACCTGCTTTATAGTTTTGAGGGCCAAATGCCTATAAACGCCACCAGAGGGTCTCACAAGTTGTGACATCAGCTACATTGAGAAAGTCTCATTCTTCTGTCTGTTGACCCATGAGGACACATCAATCGAGATCCAACAGCTTCTATCTAACAAAGACTATAGTGCCCGACAAACATACACAACAGTTTACATAAAAACATTTGACATATTTGTCTTAAATAAAAATATAAATACAGGTATCCCTTGCTTAATGCAGGAAATTAATTGCAGCAATTCCTTTATATATGCAACAGAAATTTTAATTAATTCAGCTTTAGCAGTTATCTTTACTTAACATAGATATCAAATTTGATTAATGCATTTTTGATATATGCAGTTGCATTGAGGATTATTTAACTGCATTAATCAATGGATACCTGTACACATAAAAGTGTATACAAATAAATATTTTGCTTTAAAAANTATATATATATATATATATATATATACATATATATAGATATAGATTACTATGGTTGTTGAAATGCTGAATATAAATGGTGTTTGCTTGCAAAATCCGCGCGAAGTCGCGGGTAAAAGCTAGTGTTTATATAAAACAAAACACTTTTAAACATCAATACGTTTCTTTAGTTACTTTTAGTTTGAAATTCTTAGAGTCAACACTAATTACAAAGTACAAATCAGTAAATTTGTAAAACTTTTATTTTCTTATTTTTCATGTGGATTATTATTATTTTTTACAATAGTATTAATAACAACAACCTTTGTAATATTTCTTGTAAAAGAGTACGATTTAAAAATGACGAAGGATATAGACCTAACGAGCAATTATTTCTTGTGAAATCGTCACATTGCCGGGCTACATTTTTTCGTCGCAATGCACTTTAATAGTGTCTTGTCCCTGTATGTACATCATACTTTTCCTCAGTCATACCTGTCACGTATCCAACTCCGTTCAGGAGAAAGTTTATGAATTGAAATAACCTGACTTTCGGCTCAAAACGGAAGTTCTTATAAAGTTAATCGGGACCCCCTGCCCCTAAGCTTTCTTTCTTTCTTTCTTTCCTTATCTGATCTTGATTTTCATCTTTCTAACACCGTTCTCAAGATTAAGGGGCGACAGTGAGAATTTATTGGTCTACAAGTTTTTTAAAATTATGCCCAATTATGATTAAATGGTCAGATCGTAGGCGTCCGCAGAAAATTTTTCAGGGGGACAAAGCTTGAAGACAATTAATTGTCAATAAATTTTTATTTAATTATTTATTTTGGGGTTCTTTTTAACAAATAGATTATAGAACACAATATTGGATCAATATGAAAAGATAACATGATTGATGCTATTAAATTTTGGTAGTTAAAAGATCACGTGTCATATCTCGAGTGGTGTCAGATTTTGAAGATGTTATTCGTTATTAGCATTTACAATTTCTTATGAAACTTATCTGTACTTTCAAAGTTAGGCTTTTTGCCATCGATAATAATTAATTTTAAATACAAAAAGTTTTTTTATAATAAAATCACATAATAGATGGCACCACACATAATTCCATTTAT